TTATTGATTACAGATGTTCCTGCAAGCCATCCAGTGGCCCCAAACACAAGCAGACACTACAGCAGTGATGCAGACGACATTCAGCCTGAGAAACTTAATCTTCTTACAGGCCTTTTGAGAACCTTTGCCAAACATGGGAATATTTTTGTATTACTAGATGGTACTTCTTAAAGATATATTTGAACATTAAACAACAACATGTTAAAAAAAGGTTTTCTTTCTCTTTTTGTCTTAACATCACCCAGTGACTTGAGGAAAGTTCTGAAATGCTGTTGTGTTTTATAGGGAGTAACACAGTTTACACTGATTTCTCAGACACACAAAATGGATGATTTAATGTAAATGCATGAGCAAAATATTTTTTAAAACACCTTTCTCATAATTTAATGATTATTTTGGACAAATATTTATAAGAAATATATACAAAAACATATTTTAGAGCTAATCTGAAGAGCAAAACCTCACATTTACCAAATTGGACAGCACAAAAACAGCCAATTCCAGTATAGAATATGCCATTTTTGCAAGGTAAAAGATGGATATCTGTTAGATTTTTGTATTAAATGAATTAGAAATGTCCGCTGATATAAAAGTGATCATTGTTTGAAGTGAAAAGTTATTGAAAAATTAGTTAAATTGATAATAGAGTCCATGGACATGACATGTACCCCTAATTATAGAATGACTTATAAGCGATCACTTGAATATGCAGCTACAAGTTCAAATTTGGTCCCTTGTCGTGCTAAAACCCGTCACTCATGAATCATCACGTCTCACCAACACAAGACGGCATATTGATTGACAGGTCTGCCTCACCTGACACTGATTGGTTAAACTGAACCAATGGGGTTAAAGAAAAATGCATTGAACAGCACATTAAAATATTAAAATTAAAATAAAGTAAAATAACATGACCAAACTAAAAAGTGAAAAAAGAAGAAGAAGAAGAAAAAAGCCAGTTATTTAAAAGAATCAGCCCAAATGTTGTCCAGCCACCCAATGCATTTTTATCCGGTCCAACCTGATGAAAAGAAGCTGAACTGGGCTGGAACCTGCACAATCTGGCAACACTCTTCCCGGCTCAGTGTTTGAGTGACGTGTAAAACAGGTTTGTCTGCATGCAGTGTTGATGTTGTTCACAAATAGTTTTTCATCAGTTTCAACATCGAAAAGCTTCATGATGATATGATCAAATGTAAGAGCAATGTAATGTTATGACTGTTAGGGCAACACATTTGGGAAAACAAGTGATTTATAATATATCAATCATTTAATAATGATATGATCATTTCTTGATATACAAAAAACATTTTTGGATGACTTAATACCCACTTGTGGCATGTTAGCATATCTCTTATTAATCATTGTTCCGTCCCAGGGTGTTCTGATGATTTACACGAGGGAATACCTGTGTGTCCTGTGTTGTGTTTCTCTCTCAGGTTGATTACCCCACAGCTGAAACTCGTTTGTGAGTCTGGCTGAGCTGAGGAACGCTTCTCCCCAGTCTTAGACTGATCTCTCTCTGCCTGTGTGTGTGTGTGCGCTGGAGTGAAAGCCAGTGTTAAAAGCTTTGAGCTTAACCTTTGGGTTACTAGTCTGACTCTCTAACCATTAGGCCACGACTTGTTATTTGGAAATAAAAAAAGTTATTGTCCCTTAAAACTGACTTGAGGTTTGAAGTGTGTCCTCCTCGTTTTTTTTTTTTAGCTGTTGACATTACTTTTCGTTTTCTCCTTTGTTACCTCCCCTCCTCACCCCTAGACAGGGAGGGGAACCCAACAATCATCTATAAATGTATATTAATGTTTAAATGATTAGTTAATAATCATTAACAAACCACTTGTAAATGACTTATAATTGGTCATTATTATAAAGTGTTGCCAAAGAATGGATCAAAACAGTGTTTAGTCACTCCCACAACCAAACTGTGTTAAAAGTATGAGGATGGTGTGTGTTTTTTCTCTCCAAACAGGTTTGGCAACCCTGCTGACAAAATACAAGAGAAAGCAGATTTTACACGCAACGTTTACACGTGTCCGTAAGATTTTTTCTTTTCATTTTGAAATACTGATCATCAAACTCTCTTTTATATTTGCTGATGTGGGAATTAACATGTACGTAATTGGAAACCAATTTTGAGAGCTTGTCTAGAAGCCGAACATTTTGATCAAAGCACGTCTTCGGCTGTGGAGCACAAAGGCACTTCCTTATTAATGTAAGTAAGCTTAAAATACTAACTTAATCATGAAGCACTCAAGAAACATGGTTAAATATGGACAAATAGAGATTACAAGATTGTGACATGTTTCACTCTAATGTTCTGTAAATACTTTTTTCAAAAACTATAATTTCTACAGTTTATATAATGATCAGAGTAAATTAAAGTAGCTACTGTTGTTACAGCCTGCCCCATAGTTTTGTAAAAGTTGAAATAAGGTTGTGTTTTACACTAAGTAATATGAAATGTAATAAATGTACTTCAGTCATAGATATTACTCATGCATCGCCTTTCTCAATTAATATAGGGAGAATATGTTCTTTGTGTAATCTTGAGTCAGAATCTCTTCTACATTTATATTCCTCTTGAAAAATTTATATTTGGTTCAGAAACCTTTAATCACATTGCCATAAAATATTTCATAAAATAATTACAATAGATAAACCCATGTTATTATTTTAGACTGTAAAGAGAAATTTAATTTGCATAAAGCAAAGCTAACAGCCATCAATTTGTTGTGTATATATATATTTAAAATGTGTTGATCAAGCTGACACGTAACATGAAGTGTAGGACTACATCTCTTCAGTTGAAGGACTCTAATATAGCAGTAAACAAAACTGGAATATTGCATAAAACATTTGTGAATAAAGCACCATTTCCATCAAGTGAGTCTAAGAGAACAAACATGTGACTTCCTCATAAACTGGGACCGGATTCACGAAAATATTCTTAAGAAATAAGTAAAAAAATTTCTTAAGATAAATTCTGAGAAGTTCGTAAGAAGTGCAATTCTTGAAAAAATTTCAAATTTGTTCTCAAGAACATCTTAATGTTTTTTCTTACGAATAAAATTTAAGTATAGCTACAACAAATTCATTACCGCTACAGGTTAATTGGATGACTTTATTATCCTGTTTTAAAGTAGCAGCCACATCCCGGTCAAGTTTTTGAATGTAAAGCGGGTGTTGCATGCTTCAGTCCAAAAGAAGTGAAATAAAAAGCGCCCATCCATAAAAAAAAATGTCTCACACGGCTCCGGGGGGTGAACAAAGGCCTTCTGTAGCGAATCGATGCGTTTTTGTAAGAAAAATATCCATATTCAAAACGTAATAATCACTTTAATCTGGCTTGCGCCAGCAGATCTGCGCATCAATTCTGAGCGGCGCATGCGCAAAGCCGAACTCATACGTCATCCGCCGGAACTGCTTCCGTGTACAACAGTAAGCGCAAGCTAGATTAAAGTGATTATTACGTTTTGAATATGGATATGTTTCTTACAAAAACGCATCGATTCGCTACAGAAGGCCTTTGTTCACCCCCCGGAGCCGTGTGAGACACTTTCTTTTATGGATGAGCGCTTTTTATTTAATTTCTTTTGGACTGAAGCATGCAACACCCGCTGAGTGGCATTAAACAGCTTGAAAGATCAAAGACCATTATTAATATAACTCCGACTGGATTCGTCTGAAAGAAGAAAGTCATATACACCTAGGATGGCTTGAGGGTGAGTAATTTATGGGCTAATTTTCAGGGAACTAACCCTTTAAGGATCTTTCATTTATTCTGTAAAATAGTCCAAAGTTTGTTGTATCTTATAACATTCATCTCCACTCGCACTTCTTGAAAGATTTGCGTGTTTCGTTGATGTTTTCCATCAAGAATTGATGTCACTTCTTTTTCAAATATGATATTTAAAAATGTTTGGACCTCATCGTTCATCAAAACATACGTGTCACTTTCTGCCATTTTTCTTATCACATGATCTGTTGAAGCAAAATCACATGACTTTTTGATGAGCATTAAAGAATTTATTCGGTACGTGTGTTTCCATTGTAGTTTATCATTTATCATTTCTTCTTATCAGTTAAAACGTTTATCAGACTCATCTGAGTACATTTCAGAATTTTCCATCTAGCATTTTTAATGTGATACTCTAAAATGTGCATAAAAATAGGTGGATGGAAACATTACTACTGTTATGCTGAATGATCATTAAAAAAGCCATAACACTTATATCCTTTCCACAAATCACCATAAATATGCTAATCGGCGCACCAGGGGCCTCATGTATAAAACTTTGCATAGATTTCATTCTAAAAGTGTGCATATGCAGAAATGGCAGATTTTGAGAACACACAGTCATTTTCAGATTTGTAAAACTGTACATTTCACCAGAACCTGTGCAAAATTAACTTCAGAAATCCTAGTCAGCAGCAGATTGTGCTTAGATGTACACAACCCCGTCTCCTCCCCGAAATATCCAGATATTGAGCTTACAATCCCTGGTTTACTAGGAATAACCTCATCTGCATTCAATTTCCATATTTTCCCATTCATGTGATACTTTAACAGTACAAGAAAATATTAGACACAAGCAGTAAATTTCACATTACATTTGCTTTTTTAAAGAAATATTTTATGATGTTTAGATATTTTTATTGGAAACCGAATAGATTGCTACTTGTTTTTTCAGTGAAAATTCAATTGTCTGACATTTACGTGAGCAAAAAGAGACCACAGAATGGCTTTTCATTAGGCTACTCGTCTACATACGATGTTAACAGCACACCTTTGTGTGTCAGCAGCAGTACAGTAGAGTCATCAGACCTATTCAAACTGATCAATGGACCGTTCAACCACCAAACCAGTCTGCCATTAACTAGACCAACAGTAACCAGTGAACTGCATTAACTAGTGATTGAGACATTTTAAACAGACATGAATTATGATGACATAAGGCTGTTTAATTACTCTAATATTTGTGATTGTTTGTCTCTTCCATCTAGAGTCAGTGGTGGAGATCAAACATCATGCATGAAACTCAAACATCTGGAGATGAAGATTTTTTTCCAGGATGCAGGTACTTTGAGTAACATATTAAAACTTTCATTTTATAGAAAAAAACCTTCTATGTATTTTTAAGTATGTTTTTTTTTAAGTTTCAGTGCTTTGACTTGTGTTGATAAAACAGAAGGCTCATTTCAATCTAATGGCGCTTTTCCACTGCGTGGTACGACTCGGCTCGGTACGGCTCAGTACGGCACGGCACGGCACGGCTCGGTTCGGCCTCACATGGGGCACCATTAAATGTAGTGGTTTTAGATCTAAGTAGCACCACAAGTGTAATGACTTTTTAGGCTTAAATATTAAGTTTAAATTCACACTATTTTACAAGGCACCAGCCAAGGAATTTCGCATCAATTATAGGAAGTTGTAGTCTGACCAGTCTGAAGGATTTGAGAGATACTGTTAACTTGTAGAGCTTTTTACTGTATTATCAACACAAGGAAGACACAAGTGTAATAAAAGGGGTTTTATTAACAAAGGATACACAAGAGTAACTAACAACTACTAAATGGATACAATGAATTGATAAAGTGCAAAAGATTAATAAATGCAAGTGATTGAGTTGGATGTTATCTTATGGAAAGATAAACTGTAGTTCCTTTGGAGGGAATAAGATAAACCTTATTCTAGATTCAACAAATAAACCGAGAGATTATTTGTTATCAACTGACATCAGTTACATAAAATCTAATGCATATTATATAATCAAAAACTGGCAATACACACTAATGCCAAGGGTTTCATGGAAAGAGGTTTGGAATGAGTGATATTTACGTCCGCCTGGTCATGTGCTGAGTTTGAGCGGCAACGTCTTCCACTTGTTGATCTGGGCCACATTGCAGAGGGAAGAAAGGATTTGGATCCATTTCACAGTCTTGAACACGAAGCACTGGTGGGCAATGAACTCCTGAGCACCGAGAAGGTCCTTGGTCTGGAAACACGCAAACAGAGGAGCCTTGAAGGTGAAGGTTCTGAAGTCTGTACAGAAGATCCGGACAACCTGGAACACGCAGGAGAAGCATCTCGCTGACGAGACGATTCTGAAGTTGGTGGAGAAGATCCTGGCAGTCTGGAACATGCAAACGGAGGATCGCTGAAGAGGAAGTTCTGACGTTGTTGCAGAAGATGGGGCGCACTAAGCTTGTGGTTGCTCTTTCCAAACTCCCCAAATTCACTTCATTCAGAAGTTTTTTTGTTTTTCAGTAGTACAGCAACAGCAGCTCAGCACAATTCTTTGTCTTGAAGAGAACCTTTTAATCTTTCCTGAGGAGGAAGGATTTGCAAGTTTATGCCTATCAGATCCAGCGTTTTGATTGGCTGATGCGTATGGCCCCTCTCTGGCATGAGGTCTATTTGTATAGCTTGAAGTCCACTGTCACGGGTGCTGGTGCAATACAAAGCGCACGACGAAGAAGAATAATCCACAAAGACCTTTACTGATAATTCTGAAGAGAGGTACATCCAAACACAAGCAACATTCAAACATCAATAACCAGCACCGGACTGAACAGAACAGGGAGTAGGGCTGAAACGATTCCTCGAGTAACTCGAATACAAAAAATGATCAAGGCAAATTATATGACTCAAGGCTTCGTTTAGTCCATTTACTGTAACTACACATGGAACACTGTGTTTCCCCACGGACCATTATTACTGACGCACAACCCGATAAACACTGGACATATATAAAGGGGTCATATGATGTGATTTCAATTTTTCCTTTCTCTTTGAAGTGTTACAAGCTCTTGGTGCATAAAGAAGATCTGTAAAGTTGCAAAGACTAAAGTCTCAAATCCAAAGAGATATTCTTTATAAAAGTTAAGAGTCAGCCACACCTACCTAAAACGGCTCATTCTAACATGCCTCCACATGTCTACGTCGCTATGTGGGAAGATTTTCATAACGCCACCCAAATGTTTACGCAAAGAAAGAAGGTGTAACTTTATTGTTGCTGCCCAGAACAGTTCAACCCAAATATTCCGACTCTCTAACCATTAGGCCACGACTTCCCAAGGTCCTTGTAGGCCCTTGTAGGAAGAACTGATGACTTCAGGGAGCCGACTGGCAGCGGCGGAGCAGGTGGGAAAGGAGCCCAGGGCGGAGACGGAGAGACACAGAGCCAGGGCAACAGCGAGGATCCGGAGGGCCAAGGCGGAGCAGATGGCTCAGGCGACCGAGGCGTAAGCGAGGATCCGGAAGGCCACGGTGGAGCCGGAACGACAGAGGACCAAGGTGGAGCTGGAGGGAGGGAGGAGCCCAATGGAGCCAGAGGGACGAGTCGAAGCCGGAGGAGTGTAGTCCTGAGGAAATGGCAGGTCGACAAATGACCAAGGCGGAGCCAGAGGGATGAGGGAGCCTGGCGGAGCTGGTGGACTGACAGGCCACTGTGGAGTTGAGGGAGCTAGAAGACATGGTGGAGCCGCTGGGTCAACGGGCCGAGGCAGAGTCCGGGACTCAGAGGTTCTGGGTCAGTGTGTGCTGCCCACACACCAAATGGCAACACCCATGACAGGGAGTGCCACAGACAGGGGAATGACCTCCATGGTCGCGATGTGACAAACAGACAGTTCAGGGCACTCAAACAGTTCATAAACAGCCTCCTTGGCCGTAACTGGAAAGGAAGAGAGTTCAGAAGAAGACGGGAGACGAGGAGGCATGTCCACATATAAGTCCAACAATTACTCTGAGTTCAGCCTCAGCTCACCCTCAGCGGTGGAACAGTGGGCGGCGGGGCTTTCGTCCACACCCTCGCTCTCCAGTGTGTAATCCTCCGAGGTGATCCTCAGCTCTGTCGAACCTTTTAGCAATGGCTCGTCGGTCGTGGTGGGCTCTGGCTCTCCATCTGCTGTGGGCTCTGGCTGTTGCTCCGCTCTGCTCCCGTGATGGTTGGCTGGGTTCTGGGTCCGGAGTGGGGCTGGCAAGGTCCTCATCAGCGTAGTAAGTAGTCAGCGGTGAGTTACAGCTCGCCAGCACCCACTCCACGAAGGTGGGGAGGCTCTCTCGAGGACTGTCCCTGGACAACTGCGCTTGTTTGGCTGTGTTTAATCCAACACGGTAGAACATGGTGAGGTAGTTGTTCGGGTAGCATGTTAAGTTAGCGAAGTCCATGAAGTATCTCGTATGGTCCTTGAGAGAGCGATCCCCCTGCTTCAACTGGAGCATGAGGATGGCAGGATCGTCCATAAAATAAAAGAAAAACTTAAAAAAAACCGAAAAAACAAAATGCGGGGAAACACCCCGCTTACACTTTTTGTGGCCGGTTATTCTGTCACGGGTGCTGGTGCAATACAAAGCGCATGACGAAGAAGAATAATCCACAAAGACCGTTACTGATAATTCTGAAGAGAAGTACATCCAAACACAAGCAACATTCAAACATCAATAACCGGCACCGGACTGAACAGAACAGGGAGTACTTATACAGAAACTACGGAAAACTAGGTCAAACAGGGAATACTAAGACAAGGAATGACACAGACTGTCACATCCACGTTTAGAACAATGTCTTTTAAGGTTTTCCGATGCACCATGGATGCGATAGACCAATGGGGGGTTGTGTTTTCTGTATTATATTAGGTTGAAAAAGGCACGCAATGAACTAAAGTAAAGAGCCTGGTTTGAAAATACAGATATTTGTGTAAAAATGTAAGGAGTGAAAGTAAAAAATTGTCAAAAAATAAATAGTGAAGTAAAGTACTGATACCAGACAAATCTACTTATTATTCAAACTTTGGGCTAACATTTGTATAAAAACATGATTATATTACTGTAACAACGTTCGTAGGTCTTGAAGAAGGAGGCGGGAACCGGCGAACACTTAAACAAAACTTTAATAATAAAATAAACAAACACAAAATGAAAGTAAAGCGGCAGCCCCTCGCGGAAGACTGCCGCACACAAAACACAAAATAAAGTCCAGGCCTGGTCCTCTCTCGTCCAACACTGTCGTCACTCCTCCTTTTATGCTTCCGGAGCTCCTCCGTGGGACTCGAGACCGGTGAGTGGCGCAGGTGTCGTGCATTAGCATTTACTCCACCAGCCTCGCTCCGTTCCCACTGCTCTCGGCCCCGCCCCGCCCCTCTTGTCACAATTACCAAGCTAAAAACACAGTTATAAACAATATATGAAATGATTATAAAGTTCTCTTTCAATTGAATTTGATAATGATAAATGTATAGATGATTTGTTACATACTGTGTTTTTAAGGATGAACTTTACTCTCTTTCTCTCTGTTTTAGCTCAGTTCATCAGAAGAGATCAGAAGCAGAGCCCAGCTGTGTGTCTATGAGGAGTGACTGGTCTATGGAACCGCCAATGAAGTTTAACAGTGGAGATTCACTGGCTGTTCTCAGGTATAACATTTGTATAAAAATATGATTATGGCATGGCATTTTATATTATCATATAATTTCACAGTTAAAAACACAGTTATAAACAGAATATGAAACGGTTATAAAGTGCTATTTAAAATGAATTTGATCATGATAAATGTAGAGTTGATTTGTTGCATACAGTAATTCAAATGATGAACTTTAATCTCTCTCTGTTTTAGCTCAGTTCATCGGAAGAAAACAGAACCAGAGTCCAGCTGTGAGTCTATGAAGAGTGACACATCTATGGAGCAGCAATTTAACTTTAAGAGTGGAGTTACACAACCTGGTCTCAGGTTGTATAACATTACTGTAAAAGATATGCTTTGAAGATATGATACAGCATAAGACATTGTGCTTACTAACTTTTTATTTTACAGGCATGAAGTCCTCAACACGTTTAGATCAAATCTGCTGAAGAAGTTTGAGTGTCTGTTTGAGGGAACAGGGACGCAGGAAAACCCAACACTGCTGAATGAGATCTACACAGAGCTCTACATCACAGAGAGTGAGAGTGGAGAGATCAGTAATGAGCATGAGGTGAGACAGATTGAGACACAATCCAGGAGAGCAGCAACAGAGGACACAGCCATCAAATGCAGTGACATCTTTAGAGCTTTACCTGGACAAGACAAAGCCATCAGAACTGTGCTGACAAAGGGAGTCGCTGGCATTGGAAAAACAGTCTCTGTGCAGAAGTTCATCCTGGACTGGGCTGAAGGGAAAGAGAATCAGGACGTCCAGCTCATATTTCCACTTCCTTTCAGAGAAATCAACCTGATGAAGGACAAAACACTCAGTCTTTCAGATCTTCTTCATGTCTTTTTCCCTGAAACTAAAGAAATGGAAATATCCAGTGATGAATATAAAGTGTTGTTCATCTTTGATGGTCTGGATGAGTGTCGTCTGTCTCTGAACTTTAAGAGCAAAGTGAAACTGTGTAATATATCTGAATCAACCTCAGTGGACGTGCTGCTGATGAACCTCATTGTGGGGAATCTGCTTCCCTCTGCTCTCATCTGGATCACCTCCAGACCAGCAGCAGCTGATCTCGTCCCCTCTGAGTGTGTCCATCGAGTGACAGAGGTACGAGGCTTCAATGAGCCACAGAAGGAGGAATACTTCAGGAAGAGGATCAGTGATCAGAGTCTGGCCAACAGGATCATCTCACACCTGAAGTCATCAAGGAGCCTCCACATCATGTGCCACATCCCAGTGTTCTGCTGGATATCCGCCGCTGTTCTAGAGAAGATGTTGAGTCGAGCAGAGAGTGGAGAGATTCCCAAGACTCTCACTCAAATGTACACACACTTCCTGATCCTTCAGACCAACATCAGACGTGATAAGGACTATAAGAAGAATGTGACAGATAAAGTCATGATCCTCAAACTGGGGAAAGTGGCTTTTCAGCAGCTTGTGAAAGGCAACCTGATCTTCTATGATGAAGACCTGAGAGAGTGTGGCATTGATGTGACAGAAGCATCAGTGTACTCAGGATTGTGCACTCAGATCTTCAGAGAGGAGTTGGGCTTGTATCAGGGGAAAGTCTTCTGCTTTGTTCATCTGAGCCTTCAGGAACATCTAGCAGCTCTATATGTGCACCTCTCCTTTACAATCAAGAAAATCTATGTGTTTGGCCAAATCGAACAAAGTCTGTTGTCTAAAGTCTTAAACTGGATGAGTTCTAGTCTGCATCAGAGAGCTCTGGATGAGGCTTTACAGAGTAAGAATGGACATCTGGATCTTTTCCTGCGTTTTCTTGTGGGTCTCTCAGTGGAGTCCAACCAGACTCTCTTACGAAAACTACTGACGCAGACAGGAAGCTGCTTCTACAACAAAGAGGAAACAGTTCAGTACATCAAGCAGAAGATCAGAGAGAATCGCTCTCCAGAGAAATCCATCAATCTGTTCCACTGTCTGAATGAACTGGGTGATGATTCACTGATGCAGGAGATCCAAGATTATCTGAAATCTGGAGAAATAAGAGAAAGCAAACTCTCCTCTTCACAGTGGTCAGCTCTGGTTTATGTGTTGCTGACATCAGAGCAGAAGATGGATGTGTTTGATCTGAAACAGTTTACTGGAGATGAAGTTCTTCAGAATCTGTTACCTGTGGTTAAAGAATCCAGATCAGTTCGGTGAGTAACACTGAAAACAATCACTGCACTGTCAAAACATGATCACATTTATGATTTTAGCATGTGCTTTCTTACCAAAGAAACAAAATGGAGGAAATCTCACAGAATCACATTTCTGGCCGTGAGCAGGAGAGGTGTGTGAGATACTCTTACTAAAGCAGCTGAGGAGGTTTTTGTGTGTCTGGGTGAGAGCTGATGATTGTAGAGCTCAGTGTGGAAGATGAAGATGAAGGATTGAATGTGAGGATCAAAACTAATAAGGATCAAAAACTGACAGCTAATAGATTTAGACTGCTTGTCTTCTACACTCTAAAAAATGATTTAGCAGTTTAGTTGTTTCAAGTTGACAAATTGCAGTTTCTGAATTTGTTCATTCAACTTAACATTTTAGGTTTTCACTGTCTCAACTAGTTTGTAAGTTGACTGAACTAGAGATTTCCCCCCTCAACTTGAAAAAATGTGTTGAATCAATTCAATAACGATATCACATTCTCAACATCACTTGTCGTGAAAACTTGTGAAGACCGTTGCAGACAGAAGACGTTCATCAGCCATCTTTGCGAGCTTCTCCACAAAGTTTTGAAATTTTCTCAATCTACAAATTTGGTAAGTAAATATTTGTATTTGTTGGTTTAATGTGTAAAAGTAAGTATGCTGTATAAGAAGTAAGAGTACAAGTATGTTTTAAAGTGTCGTATTTTGTAGTTATATGTATGCCAGTGTTAGTTTCGTGGCACTCTGAATAAATACATGCAAATCTAGTATTTGTTCCAAATACACGTCATATTTTCCACATAAATATTATAATAAATATTTTTCCATGCGATACTGAGCTGAAATTATCAAGAGAACGCTAAGAAAATACAGTTTGGTATGTATTATTTGAGCCCAGTGCTGCATTAGAGGCCGCGTCTTATATTCATCAACTCTAACAGCTGACGACTTTGCCACATTCGTCATTAATAAAATTACAAACCTCAGTGCACAATTTGCCACACCACAAACTGTCAAACACCGCTTTGGATAAAAGCGTCTGCTAAATGACTAAATGTAAATGTATAATCCCTAAAAGATGTCCGTCAGATACTGTACATTATACATAGAAAAAAAATTGGGGAAAAAACAACTACTCAAACTGTCCCTTTTATGCACATTATAAGCATGAAATGCATGAGCACGTCCTTCTGAGTTCATTTGGAGCGTGTGCATTTGATATTGCTGACATAAGCTTGGTTCAGATGAAGTTCTGAAGGTACAAACTCTTCTTTCAGTTTTCTGAAGTAGTTATTGAAGTGAATCCATTGTAATGCTGCATGAATATACAGTCATAAGTATATTGCATTAGACATACATTCAAGACTATAGGTGTTTGAATAACAGTAGTTATAGCTTAAAGGGGTCATATGATGCAATTTCATTTTTTCCTTTCTCTTTGGAGTGTTACAAGCTCTTGGTGCATAAAGAAGATCTGTAAAGTTGCAAAGACTAAAGTCTCAAATCCAAAGAGATATTCTTTATAAAAGTTATGAGTCAGCCACACCTACCTAAAACGGCTCGTTCTGACATCACTGAATTCAATGATGAACTGCCTTTAACTGAAAAATTAGTGTTTACTATTGTCATTTTTGCATTATTGACACTATTTTCCTAATTAATGCTGTTCAGTTGCTTTGACACAATCTGTATTGTTAAAAGCGCTATATAAATAAAGGTGACTTGACTTGACTTGACTTTTTAGCAGCATCATATGACCCCTTTAAATCTTGTAGCCCTGCAATATGGATAGACACAAATGTGTTAAATTTGCTTTTTTTTTTTTTTCTAATTTCATGTGTTATGTAATTTAAAAGCCTTGCCTGGTTTGTAAAGTAAGGCTTTGGTAACTGAACGTAAACTTGTCATGACATTTGACTTTCTCTGTGAAAATGTATTTATATATTTATTTGTATTATTTTACAGTGTTGTTTTAATGTGTTTCTGTATTTTTTCATGTTTATAATATTCTGGAATGCCTGAAGATCAGCGCAGAATTCAACGATCTTGTGGATGGACTGCAGCAAGTCCTTGTGCAGTTGTATCCATCAAAGTGCTATGCAGACTTAATGGGAATGACTGTCACATTGTAGAGCTTGGCCAAAGTTGTAAGTAAATTTATTTACTTTATAAGTGCACATATTTATTGGAGTCTGTAATCTTTTGAGAATGTAAGGCACATTTTAACACTTCCCTTTGTTTTTATTTAAGCATAGAGTGTTACGGGGCGAACGAGACGTGAGACGTGCGGATCCATCTGCAGGCTTTTATTAGACAGAGACGTGGTCATAACAGGCATGGGTCAAACAAGCAATGTAACGGAAGGGTGACCTCTGGTTGCGATCGAACGGAAGTCCATGGACAGGATTCGTGACATAGCCCCCCCCCCAAAACAGT